TCTTTCATCACCTTGTTTGCTACCTCATCCATGAAATTTTCTTTCCGTCTTGCATCTAAAATATTTAAGTCATCAGCAGATCTGGCACGATTGAAGTTGTGGCTAAATTGTCGACCTGTGGAATGAATGTTAGGCAATGAACTTGATTTTACAATACTACGAGTAGTACGTGGTGAATGGTCACCAGACTCATTTGCATTAGACAACTGAACCTCATAGTTCTCTTGTCCGCCTTTTTCTGACTCTTTTGCATCTCCAATTGAAAATATTGACTCATTGTTAGCCAAATCAGAGTTCACTTGAACAGAATCAGAAGGTCCAGCTTCGTGAAATAAACCAAGCAAGCTGATATTAAGTTCCTTCCCACCATCTGCACTTGCTGATCCACAGCGATCATCTGATTCATCACAAGAATATCTACCACTCTCATGCTCTGAGTCATTACCACTGACAACTCTTCCTTCCAAATTCAAGCAACTACCCAAAGATAAACTCTTCCTCATCTGCACATTGTTATGTCTTTTGAATTCACATTCAGTATTAGATTTGCTCTTGAATTCCTCAGATTTATTATCACGCTCTAAAGGAGAAGAATCGGAAGCATGATCGACATAGTTCTCGAGAGCATCTCTCTCCGCTGCACATGATGCACTAGCTGCCGACAAGTAAGCAAAACCCTTCATGGCATGATTCTGAGAACAATCTTCAAGTGTTTTATGCATTGCTTCGGCAGAAAATTGAGTTGTTTTCTAATTAGAGAGGAACATATAATCAGCAACAGTTTTAAATTATGCAATAAAGTAGAAGTAATTATGTTCATAACATCCAAAAATATTTATTTTCTAACCTTTTGTTTGTGGGAATGGACGTGAGCTGGGAAGCATGAAAACCTAAACATCTTTATAAAAGAAAAAAAATCGTTCACATGAGATCTAATCACTTTCGAGATATTGAAGAGCTCTAATAATCTAATATTTACTAAATCGATAATCAGTAGAATTTCAGCAAAAAAGATCACATGATTGCAAGACTTAGCATAGGCCAATCTTAGCCATAATCAAGTGTGAGCCCTGCTGAGACACGGCACAGTCTCCAGATATGGGATGATCTTGATCTCCTCAAAACACATAGTAATATCAACCCCTCGTCCTTGCCCCACACCTGCTTAGAGGTGCGAGAAAAGCAGGAAGTTGTTACAGCGGCCAGACTGGAAGAAGACGTCAAAATCTAAAAGAACCCAATGATTGCTACACCTCAAAGATACCGACCTGTTAAATAAGAAAAAGAAGCTGAAACTGAGATGAACTAAATTGAAACCAAGAGATGAGCAATATATCATGTCACGAAGTTCGAAATCAATATGGTATAACGAATCTCGAAATTTGATTCTATATACACTTGCCCTTTAGATCTCTAAAAATCCATGTACTAGATGACAGGTCATATACCCTCAATCATTTTGATTCTAATCCAACAGAAAAAAAAGAGTAGGAGTTCAAAGCGCATATAAATCTTACCGGACCAGATCCACAGAGCATTGAATATACTAAGGCAGCCATATCATGCCAGTATAATTCAAGATTGGAAGTAATATAATGTTAAGCTAAAGGGAATGCCACATAAATAATCAAAGAAGAGAGATTCTGCATGCATTTTCTTCCTTAACATTTAAATAACAGTAACAAATATGATCAGATTTACCGGACCATGGGAATCAAACAACAACAAACTTCATATATATTCTTTTAACATCTACAATTCAATTAAAAGCAAAAGTCACAATTATATACCATGTTTTCAAGATTGAAAGCAGAGGGGCATGCCCATTATGCTCCGAGTTCCAAAACAGCACTAACCGTAGGAAACATATCAATTCAACAACTACTACTAGTACTAGTTGGGGTCGACTATATGAATCCTGAAAATCTATTCTACTCCATTTTAACCAATTACAATAACACTAAAACAGTTACATGATGATGATGTTAACATCCATAACAAGATCCACACCTTCAATAGCATAAACGATCAAATCCCAATTCAGATAATCAAACTTCCACATAAAAACATGTCAATAAAAAAAGACCAACAGTAATAAGCAGAATTAGAAGATCTAACCTTCTACTAGCCAGCTTAACCTTTACGTGCTGAGCTGAAATGACAAAAGAACAATTTTTCAAAAATAAAAATAAAAATTTGTGGCTTTCAATTGAAGGGAACGAGTAAGAAGAAGGAAAGAATAGCAACAACCAACAACCCTACAACTAGATGTGAAGGAGTCGTTTGGCTCAAATTTATAGTTCTATTGAATGGCACCTGAATTATTGCAACTATTTTATTTTATTTTAAATTATTTTCATTGATTAACAAATAAGCTTAGGATATATTCTGTTCTATATACTCATCAGCAAGAAGAAAAAAAGAATATTTCTAAATATTTTTTGTTTAGCGGAGATTAGAAAGAGAAGTTGCTGACCACTAAAATTAGAATTTTGCGATCGGATTTTTTGACCACTTAAAAAGGGGAAGAGTACTCCATAGAGCGACCGCTAATTGAACAGGCTGTGGTTTTATATAAATGTGACAGCTTAATTATAACCGTTGATTATATTTGGGATCGGTCGGCTTTTAAGTTGGTGATTTGTAGCGACTTTTGACCTAATTAAAGAACGCTTTGAAGCTAATTTTTGTCTATACTAGCTGAGTTTATTGTCTTTTTTTGGTTGTATTATTGTTTAATCACTAATGATTCCATTGATGATCTGATTTGATTATGTCGTATATTAATTATTTCTTCTCCTTTGCTCTGTACACTGAACTTTAGTCATTTATTTACAGAAAAGAAAAACGAAATAAATAGGACTACTCTTTTAATGATTTCAATATTCAAGAGGGTAATTACCTAATGGGTTACTCTGACCAGATGTAATAACACCGCTTTTGAAAAATAATTGTGCTTCAGTCTAAGACGTAATTGCGATTGGTCATATTAGTTTTTTTCTCAATCTTGCTATACTCATGCTTGTTAAGCAAATACTAAAAGTTTATCTTTTAAGGCAAAGCACAAATACTATAAGACACCGTTTGGAAAGCCACGTGTAATTACTTGATTGTGTAATTACAAGGGTAGTAATCACTTAGTCTAGTAATTACACAGTATAGTAATTACAATAGCTTGTTTGTTTGTCGTGATATAATTACAGTGTAATTATCAGTGTCGTGTTTGATTGTACTAGTGTAATTACATAGTTGAATAAAAAAAATTTCAGATTAACATATAAATAAATTTTGCTCTGAAAATACTTATGTAAAACAAATATTAAATATTATTTATTATTATGTATTAAATACATATTTTTGTAAGAAAATATTTGTAATAAAATATATTAAATAATTATAAAATAGTAAATAATATCATAATAAAATAATTGGTATTCTCCATATAAATAATTTTATAACTTGAAAAAGAACAATGAAAAAATAGCATAATTTAATAATAACAACGTATGTCAAATTTCAACAACAAATAAGATAAGCTCATTTGGTGCTTATTGGGTGCTAATGAAGGTTATTGTAGCAATTATAATGGAAGGAACAAAACTTGAAGAATTTGTATAAAGCAGGGCTGGTTCATTGAAGGATTACGATCCATGGGAAGAAGCTAGAATTAATATTCCAAATGAAATAAATGAATCAACTAGCAATAAATTATTTATATGCAACACGACAAGGTCGGATTACATAATGAAAAATATGTCTTATTTGTTTCCTCATATAAAAATATATTTAAAAGGAAAAAAAGAATTTGAAAGGGTGCCTTTTAGATACATTGTGTAATTATACCTAATTCTTTACTCTACTTTGAGAATTGGAGAGAGTAATTACCTCCTCTCAATTACATCAAATTACTCACTAACCAAATAATTACTTTGTCAAACAAACATGCCAAATTGTGTAATTACACCCAATTACACACAAATTCAATTCTCTTGTGGCTTTCCAAACATGCTTAAAATTAAAATTAGGTGTTCTTTAAGTGTTATGCACTTAAACTAAACACATATGACCTTAGCCAAAAGAACAACTTCAAGCAAATACTTTACTATTGTAAGTATAATATCAACCACGACTAATCATAAATCAAATAAGTTAGCATCACATGCATGGATCATTTGCTTATGTAGACATTAAAGTTTTCATGGATAAAATCCATACAAATGAACTACACTCTAAATTCAACACATTATAACTCAAATTAATTATTTGAGTTAATATTATTAGATTTTTTTTAAGTCCAACTGGATGGGACTAGATGTGCAGAACAATTTGTACCCTCTTTGTTGGAGCAAAATCCACTTGAATGTCACTTTATTCGAATGCGCCAAATTCATGTCATGTGTCAAGTAACGTGACGAGTCAGCTTAAATGAGATAGTGGGGTTATCATATCATATTTGAAATTATTGAAAACCGATCAAAATTAACTAACTGTGTAAATAACGTGGTTTGACTAATCAAAATACAATCTTATCATGTATCCAAGTAAATTGGTTTGATTACTTAAATGAGTCAATCAAATAAAACTGAATAGTTCATATATAATGTGACTTTCTTTCTTTTACTACTATAAAAAGTTGTACTCACTAAGGCCAAAATGGCCTAAAAATACATACACTAAAAGGGCTAAATAAAAGCTAACGTATGCTAACGAAGTTCTTCAATGTCACTAAAATATCCTAATAGCTAGGAGGAATATTTGTAATATAAATGTATTAACGTTTGGTGTAACATGAACCATGTGACGAACTTTCACTATAAAAAAACGGGGTTATAGCGGCGATTCCAGTGAATCGCCGCAAATATGTAACATTTTATAACAACGGTTCTTTCTCGATTTACAACGGTTCGAACCGCCGCTAGCCTTTTGAACTTTTTTACAATTAATTCTCTTCCCTCAACATATTTAGTATTTCCCACACTTATTTTAGATCTCCCTCCGTGGTCATATCTTTTCCTCCAAAATCCAAATCTCTCATTCCCTTAAGAATATGACCTCTTTCCCTACATGTCGTGGCCTTCTCTCCTTCTTTATTCACCTGATGGAATTCGTTTAGGTTTTGGTAAGGTATCGAATTCAGACCATATTCTGATGGTGTAATTCGTTTCACTCATTGGATTAAAATTGCTAAATTAGCTATCGTTTTCACTTATTTAAGGCATGCATGTGTGTTTATTGGATGAAGAACATTTTAAATTATTGATTTTAGCCGTCAATTTTGCTGATTTAGCCGTTGATTTCACTGATTTTCATCGTCAATTTTACTGATTTACCCGTCGATTTTACTGACTTTAGGCGTGTATTTTTTATGTGGATTAATTCAAATAACTGACTTTAGCCGTCTATTTTCTTTGTTTAGCTGTTGAATTCACTGATTTTATCCGTCGATTCCACTGATTTAGTCGTTGATTTCATTGATTTTAGCTGTGGATTTTACTTGTTTAGCTACTAATTTTACTGGTTTAGTTGTTGATTTCTCTTTTCTGTTTGCTAGAGTCCATGCATATTTGATAGTGTAGTATTTTTTCCCCAATTTCTATTCTAATGGTTTTATTTTCTCTTTCTTCTAGTTTTGGGTCTATTTTTGTTTGATATTTGGATTGTACTCATATTGTATCCACTTCATTTGATATTTTTTAGTTGTTCTTCAGACTAATATTAACCTAAATATTACATTTGAGCTTGATAGGTAGGGGAGGGATCAAAAACTGTTGTTGAAGCTATTGGGATCGACTTTCAACAGTAAACCATTAGGTAATAGCTATTAACAATTTAAATTTGTCCTTTATTTTGAGTTGCTTTCTTTTTTTAAAGGCAAATTAATTATTTTTTAGTGTTGAATTACCTCTTATCATTGAAAATATATCACAAGATGTTGGATTCTTACCTCTTTGTTGTATAATTATTTTATTCTGACCTACAAAATACCTAAGCTTACATATATTTTAACTTACCAGAAATAAATTAAAGATATAGACAATTTTAGGTAGTTCTTGCATGCTATAATTATTTTCCCCCTAAATAAGTTGCAATTGTTCCTTTCTTTGTTTATTTCTCGCTTTGATTTCCATTTAGAAATTCTTTAGAAGCTATGAACTAACTTTTCGTTTTGATTTTGTAATGTTATCTTATGTCTTTATTTTTAGCCATGTCAATTGATAAATCTTGGATTAGCAAAGTACGAAATACACCTGAATATGCATGTGGGCTAATAAATTTTTTGAATTTTGCTTTTGAGCATGGTTCTATTAATGGGCGCATAATTAAGTATCCGTGTCCAAAATGTAATTTTTACAAGTGAAAAAGAAGAAATATAGTTGAAGAGCACCTAACTTGTAAGTTTTTTCCAAAGAATTATAAAGTTCGGTACTTGCATGGTGAGAATCAAATGCAACTATACCACAAAATATTTTAGAGCACACATGTCATAGAAACAATTTTGCAACCCCAAGATTTAATGAAAACTATGATCAATGATGCATTTGGGTTCGCTAGGAACAATATCAATGAGCATGGTGTTTCTCGTGAGCCTATGAATAGAGAAGAAATATTTAATGAAAGGCACATTAATCGGCATAATGAAGAATATGCAAAGTTCTGTGAGCTGGTCAAAGATGGCAATCTACCATTATATGAAGGGTGCACGAAGTATTTTAATTTGTCTTTTCTAGTCAAATTGTATCATATAAAGTATTTGTACCGAATGACGGGCAAAGCACTGAGTATGATATTGGAATTGTTAAAAGATGCCTATATTTTCTGGTTAGATACTTATGTTTTATATAAGATAAACATATTATGTTTATTTAGTTTTCTATGTTTACTTGTAAAACAGTAAAATTGAATTTGTTATATGGTTTATAGACAAGGGAACTGATTTGATCCAAAAAATGACAAATAAACAAGACTAAAAATAAGACTTAGCAGTTAAAATCGAAGGAAATGACAAGCTTGGCTCCGAAAGCAATGCCTCTGAGGACAGAAATAAGAACAATGTAAAAGAGCAAATAAAGTTATCCGATTAAGCTTGATAATAAAATATAGCATAAGTTTTGCCAAGAAATTCATGTGTTACAATGGTTGTTTAGCCTACTATTTATAGATATACCTAGGAAAACAAGATCATAGGATCAAATTCCTCTTAAATGATAATAAATGGGCCATTGATGAATATGTAATGGCAGACCATGAATACAAATATTCTCTGCAACGACTTCCCATTTAATACAAGAAAATATTCTTCATTGAACGTTATCCGATGATAAATATATGATCTACTCATGTTGATCATGCTCCCTTCGGGGTCTATCCGATGCCAACTGCAGTCGTTGTTCCCGGACGGGTTGTTACTTGATTTACTTTTTACTTGTTTTCGGTTCCATATATCACGTTACTATTCGATCATTTAATATAAACCAATTTTACCCTATACAGATAGTCCCCTGCTTTATGGTGGCATATCTTTGTGTCACCGGAAAGTTGGTGAAGATCCCCGTCTTGACGGAAAATCTTCTGAAAACCTTCTGAATAGTCTTTGACGCTTGAATGGACGCACGTCTTCTCGCATTTAATACCCCGAACACATGTTGCCCTACAATTTAGCAATATTTTTGTCGTTTCTCGAGGTAATCATGAACACAATTTTTGTCGTCTATATCTTTACTTATTCTCATCATTTTACCTCTTTTACTTCCAAAATTTTCATAAGTTCATCATCTTCATTGCACTTAACCTCCTTATGCTTTCATCTTTTTCTGACTTTCTTCAAAAAAATTCACTACCTTTTTACTACCATGGCTTCTTTTACTGAATCTTTTGAAAACTCAGGTCTTCTCTTTGGTGGAGGCTCGAAGATAAACAAAGACAAAGAGGTTGATGTTGATATTGATCCTCCCACGGTAAGCACCATTATACCCAAACACCTGAGCATCGCCAATGACTTCCAAGAGAAGTTCCCCTCTGCGTCTTCACAGACTTGGGCCGTTAGAAAGTACCCCTCCTTTATTCACCCTTCCAATATTCCTGCTGTGAAGGAGGACTGCAACTGCCCAGACCTTAACATCCTTGCTCCGGATTTGATAGAGCAAGTTACCTTCACCAATCAAGGTTTTACATATGTCTATAGGTAACCCTTCACCTTGGGTCCGTTTTCTTTGAGTGGAGGACTCGACCCCATGATCTTAGATTTCTAGAGTTCTGCCATCGGTACCAGGTATGCTTTGGACAAGTAGGACCTTCTATATGGTGAATGGTGGCTTGTCTGCTAGTTGTGCATGAAGACTACGAAAACCCTAACCTTAGCACACATGATGAATCTCTACTCTCCCAAAATCTTCCTTGGGGAGTAATAAATTTCAGCAAACGTGGCCACCACGCCCTTCTCACCGACGTGGATGATGACAGTGACCGTGGATGGATAAAGAGATTTGTCATCATTGTTACCGCGGATATCATTCCGGCCATAACTCCATTTTTTCCTGAATCATGGAATCGTTCTCATAAGTTTATATCTCTTTCATTTGTAAAAAGACTGTTTCCCGTCATTGTTGACCTTTTTGTTTCCATTGTTTCAGATACTCGATGGACACCACCAAGGACTCAAGGACTGGACCAATTGGTTCAGAAGATTTTGGATATCACAACACTAGAAATCCATCGGTAGAAGGAGATGGCCCCAAAATATAGGTGGAAGGCCAAGAACCACGGTAAACTGAATCCATTTTCATTCTGCCTCCATATGTACATAAGTAAATTTGCTAACTATATCTTTTACTTGATTCAGGAGTCCCGCAATGCTCTGTCACCTGCCCCGAGGTCGATATTTGGCTGACCCTGCGGAGGCTGCAAGATTGTTACAAAGTGCTCTCGCTCGAAGCGGCTCTCTTGGATCTGCTTCCGGTGGGGGTAGTTCCTCTCGGAGTCCCCAACCAGAAAACAAAGCAACCAAAAAGGCGCTCTTTCTTGGCTAGGATAAGAATAAAAAAATAAAAAAGGCCACGATCAAGCCGACCATGGTCACTGTGATCATTTAAGACAAAGAAGAAACTAGTGATGAAGATGCTTCCCTGCAAAGAAGAAAACGATCTTCATCAACTCAACCAAATGCTCAATTGGGAGAGCTTAAAACCCCAACCGAAGGTGAGGTCCGAGCACTTTGGAGTGAAATGGAGATAGTAGAGGATGCCGATTCTCGCTTTCTGACCTCTATTGCTATTTCTAGTCCTGGGAGGTCGGACTCCGGGCCTTTTCTGCCTTCGGTTGATGAGAAACCAATAATCAGCGCTGATCCTGTTGCACCTGCTTCTCAACCTTCAATGCCCACAACTTCATGCCCCTCTAAACTAGCTGCACCCTCATCACTAACACCCAATGCATCTCCTCTACCGATAACAGACGCTCAAGAGGAGGGTGCTTCTCCTCCTTAGTCTCCTGACCACGGGAATTTGGGGCACAATTACTCACCCCCTTCTCCAGATCCCGGGGGGAGAGAAGTGTAACTCTTTCGGTTTCGAAGGGGTACTATCTGCTGTCGGTGAAGCCCGCCAACTACCTAAAGCCACTGGCTTTGGAGAAGGATAAGAAGAAAATACACTTCATTTCATGGGAGTGTCTATTGAATAATGCAATGCATAATGCAACCGCAGTATCGTACTTGTTCTCTTATTGCTTGTTTTCTATTTATAGAGATTCAAGAAGATTATGTAGCAAAATTGGCTTCACCTTTCTACAATCTATGATCTTGATTCTAGCTCGTTGCCACGAGATATGAGAGGGATGGCCTTCAGGCCGAGGTTGACAGACTTAAGGCAAAGCTTTAACACCAAGGGGATTCCTCGTATTTGAAAAGACATATGTTATATATCATATGAGGAGAAAAACCTTGGAGGAGGCCAAGGCGGGCATCATTGATATTGATGATTACATCGCCAAGGCCCGAGCACTGGAGTTAATCGCTCGAGAACAGCTCCCTGCTCAGCCTGATGCAACTGACTCTTCGAGTACCGGTTACTTGTATTCGGTAACCGAGGATGAACTTGGAGAGAATAATGATGAAGGCCCAAGTCCCGAACCGGCGGCTGATCTGTCCACTTCCTCGGGGGGAGGGGGCGTAAATGCTTCTCTCACCCCGAGTTCCGGCGGCGATAATGTTTAGATTTTTTCTTATTTTCTTTTGTTGTTTCCCTTTGTACTTTTGCATTTATGTTATTTGGCATTTTGATAAATAAAGAAGACTCTTGCTTAAGTATCGCACAAAATTTATTCTTTTTGCATAGAATTAGATAAGGCTTCGGGTGTATTTTTGTCTGATAGCTTCTTGTTCCGGACATAAACACTTCCGGAATCAATCCTTTACTATGAGGGTTTCATAATAGAGGGTCCTCTTATGTTTACGGTGCTCTTGAAGAGGACGTCTCCTGTTCATTTCGGTACAAGAATTTGAAGTTTTCAGTTAAATTTCAAATGATAAAATTAACTCATAGTTTGGACAAGAAACAAGATAAAAATAAAAGAACTTTATTTTATTCCTTCTATCTTTAAAAGTACATAAGCATTCGATTGCTTAAAATGAAATTGCCAATACATGTGGCTAACTCGTACAACTTAGTTTTACAGGGTTGGCCATGCAGTCCCTGATCCCGATGAGACATTATTGTTCCCGGGTCTCGTACTCCCGGTTCTTGCGGCATCCTTGCTATCTTATCCAATACTACCCCCCAACGTTCGGATGCAAAGTATGCGAATTAGAACACTGGAATCTTGCTTCGTTGATAGAATCACTTGTGAACGGTTGAATAATCTTTGGTTCGATGGCAAACTTTACTTCCCATTAGGAACTTGCCATTGCACCAAAGATTATTTAACCATACCGTAGTGGTTTATCATTTCAATGCATTGTCATTTAAAGGTCCTAACTTTGCCGATTACGCTTCCTTCATAGTATGCTTTTCATTGTTGCCTCGTAAAAAACCTTGCCAGAGAAATCCGATTGGGAGAAAAACTGGTCGAAGGGAAAAATAGTGCAGCACATACTTTTAGTATAGGTAGGATCCATCAGCAATAATACTTTTTGAAGTGAGTCACGTTCTAATTGCTCGGTAATTTGACTCCATGATTTTTCAACTCGTACGATCCTTTACCGGTGATAGCTGAAACCCGATAGGGACATTCACACGTCTAACACAGCTTCCCAACATTGATTTCCCGAGTGTTTTGAGTCATTTTTCTCAAAACCAAGTCTCCTGATTCGAAGTAACGTAGATTGGCCCTCCGATTATAGTATCTTTCCATCATTTGCTTCTGAGCCACCATTCTCACGTGTGCCAAGTCCCTGTGTTCATCGAACAGATCTAGCTACACCAGCAATGCCTCATTATTTGGTTTTTCATTTGCTCGGAAAACCTATAAGATTGACTTCTTTACTTTCATCGGGATGAGAGCCTCCGCCCTGTATATGATAGAGAAAGGTGTTTCTTCTGTGTTTGATTTTGTCGTCATCCGGTATGCCCATAGCATGCCCGATAACTCTTCGGGTCACTTGCCCTTAGCTACTTCTAACCTTTTTTTTGAGGTTTTGGATAATCACCTTATTGGTTGACTCCGCCTGTCCATTAGTGCTCGGATGGTACGGTGAGGATGTAATCCTTTTGATTTTCAAGTCTTCGAGAAATTTCGTGACTTTTGAGCCAATGAACTGTGGTTCGTTTTCACAGGCAATTTCCTTCGGTATTCCGAATTGGTAGATTATATGTTCCTATAGGAAATCGATCACTCCGCACTCACTGATCTTTTGGTAAGGACCTGCTTTAACCTCTGGTG